TGACGAGAGCAGATGTTCTCCTGGAGCTTCTTGGAGGGGGCCACCAGCTTGTGTTTCTTAAACTGAACTACATCATAGTGAGGTTGGAGGTGTTTCTCACAGTAAGAGGCTGGACAAGATAAACAGGACTTGATGGCTTTCAGCTTCCTCCCAGTGCAGACATCACAGGCCACATCTTCAGGTCCAGCATAGCAGTGATCAGCTGGAGCAGCTTTGAGTCCAGTCTTCTTCAGCTGCTCCACTAAAGCTGCTAACATGGTGTTTTTCTCCAGGACAGGCCTTGGTGTGAAAGTCTTCCTGCACTGAGGGCAGCTGTTGATTCCCTTCCTGTCCTCTTCATCCCAGAAACCTTTAATACAGTTCCTGCAGTAGCTGTGTCCACAGGCTGTAGTCACCGGATCCTTCAGTAGATCCAAACAGATGGAACAAGAGAAGGTTTCTCGGTCCAGCTGAACTCCTTTCTGCGCCATTTCTCCTCTCAGTGTCAGTGACTGTGTGAGTTTCTCTTCCTTATAACTGAAACTAATCTGAGCTCTGATCTCAACAACATGTTTCTGCAGTGAATGGAGCCTGTCTTGTTTTTCAGGCTGTGTCTCATTCCAGCAAGAGGAGCGGTTTGAGAGCGATACTGTGTTTTTAACCCTTTTATTTACTGCTCACATCAACTTAAGCATATTACAGTTTTTTTTACAGCCGCTAGGACACATTTCTCAATACTTAGGTCACTTTTACAAAACCCTTCACACAATTCTCCTAACTGACCTTCAGCTTGGCAAAGCAGTTCATTTCACATTCAAAATGCACTACAACTACCAATACACTTTATTCAGGTCTCAAATAAACTCATTCTTCCAGAACACTAGCAAAGGTTGACAGCCGACAAACACACTTTGTCACCCACAAAACAATGACCTAAAAAACACTAACAACATGTAGCATTACACAGTGTTTTCTTGTGTAAAAGAAGGACACATCTCTGTTTATAATTTCAATATATGTTACTGGAATGAATCAGACATCATGCAGAATTCGTTAATATGTGTTTATGTATTTTTATTTTTTTGCACTAAGTATTCCCAAAATACAATAATTTGTATACACACCATCCACTGATACAAATACAATAGTAATGCTAATCTACTCGGTCTTCTCCATTTGGCCACAGGTTCTCATCCAGATCACATCTTATGTCATCTAGGGCAATACACCTAGGAAAGAATAGAGTAACACCTGTGTAGATGTTTATCTAAAATGAGAATCAACTGTGGCTGGTTAAACTGCATTTTTAAGATTTAAAATATGTTTCAATAAAATATTGCTGTTGAATTTTGCTGTCTTATTCAGTTTTGCATTATGTTATTGTTTTGACCATAAGTTTAACAGTTTTGAAAACAGTGTGTAAGTACATGCAAAATGTCCTGTACGTACAAAGATTTTTGGCAGTTGTGTCTGAGTGAGAAAATAATTCATGAAATTTGAGAGATGTAGTCATTGAATGCATTTTGTGCCAAAACAATGATAACTGATCCTCAGTTTAGCCCACATAGACTTCTGTTGTGCTCACTGTGTGAGGAGTTTTGCAAAAGTGACCTAAGTATTGAGAAATGTGTCCTAGCGTCTGTAAAAAACTGTAATATCAATGCAATATGTAAATGTAATCAACCCTTTTCACATTTGCAAAACTCATTCCAACTGGATAACCCGATAACAGGAGAATTGTGTGAAGAGTTTTGCAAAAGTGACCTAAGTATTGAGAAATGTGTCCTAGCGGCTGTAAAAAACTGTAATTACAAGGCTCTGCACTGGCAGCTGACTGGCAATCACCCCTGCTGTCCATTATTAAAGCTGCCATTTATTTAATAATCATTCAACTTCACCACTTGACTGATTCCCATAAATGTCCACATGGAGGCGATAAAGTCAAACACAATAAATAAACTGCACAGCTGTCCACTGATATTTGACATCCTGGCAGCTCATGAACCGATTGCCTCATTTCCACCTTAAATCCATCTCAGCTGGAAGAAAGAACAAAGAGGCTGAAGGTGGAAACACAAATGAAGAAAAAACTAAATGTTTGTTTAAAAAGATGCAGAGCAAACGGGAAACATTTGAATTAATTCATAGCTGCACATTATTAAAAACATGAGTGAATGTTGGAGTTTAGTTTTGACTCAATCAGAAACACAAAAGTAGAAATAAACACAAACCAAAAATCTATCAGGTTACTGGAACCAGTCAGAGGTCTTTGGGTCATTTCATAAAGATCCCGATGGTGCAGAAACACACACAGCTGTAAACCTGCAGCCAGGTGAAGATTTCATTATAGGAAAAGTGCAATAAAACAACACCAGTGTTAACAACTCACTGATTTCATTTCAGGCTGATTCACATTTAAAGGATAGCAATTATTATCAGACAGAAAATATCAGCGCGCTGCAAGACACAGGATTAAAATCAGTAAATGCAGCAGAGTTTCAGATTTACAATAACAAGATTAATCTATAGTGTGTAAGAATTAAAGCTGTAAATGAATCCTGAAGGTCTGAACTCACAGCTGCAGTCTGACAGTTTCTATGAGATCAGACAATAAAGAAGCAGATCACTGTGGATCAAAGCAGAACACAAACACTGCAGCTTCATCAGAGTCAAAAACTGGCAGACAGCAGAAATATTACTGCAATATAAGTAATAATAAACCAATAGCTTTATAAATGGAAATACGGCAACAGAAACAAATCAGAAAAAAAAAAACTTCTACCACAACTTCACTTATAGTTTCAAGGTGCATGGAGAAGAAGAGGGTCTGAAGACTCTCTATTCTTTCTCTAATTGCTCTTAATTTTTTTCTGCACATCCACACAACTTAGTGGATTTGGGGTGGCTATATTTCATTTGCTACGGTGATTGTGTTTTTTATGACTCTACTCAAACACGTGTTCTATTTAAAGTGATATCGACCATCTGCAGCAGAGCTGCTGTCAGTCCACAGTAGAGGCCGATCCTTCCTCCACTCTCTGTGTTTGATGTCTCAGGTTTTCTCTCAGGCTCAGGAAAATTCCTCCCTGTTGCAGAGACACAAACACATCTTAAACAAGTATTTAAAATCACTAATAACCACTAAAATTATTTTCACACACATTTCCAAGCAGATTATTATTCATCTGAAAAGAAAGTTATGTAGAACTGAAGGAGTTAAAAATTTTACTTAATTACCTAATCCAGTTACCAGTGTCACTAAGATAAATCTGCCAAAGCCATGACATTGATTCACCTCACACAGGTACAGACAAGAGTCATCAGTCCTGATTCTGGACAGACTCTGAGCCTCAGTTCCTTCATGAACACGATACAGGACTGGGAGTTCAAGTATTATATGAGTTCTTTCTACTGCAGTGTCAGGTTGTGGTTCTCTTGATAGTTTCAAAATTCTTCGCGCTACTTCCTGAAAAGGGGCGTGTCTTCGTGTGTTTGTCAGGGCGGCCCGGTTTCTGCTCAGCTGGACCGTTACATTCTGCACCGTTAACTGGAGGTAAAGTTGTACACCGTAAACCTTCATGCTAATCGCCTGCACTCATATCGTTTTACTGTTTCTTAGTTTTTTCTCTATTTTTCTTTTCTCTCATGCTGTGATTTTGTTTATAGTTACAGTGACATGTGACGTAAAATATTCTAAAACATGAGTTTGTTTCCCTTTTTGCCATAAAATTAGCATTCTCTGGGTTTGTTCAAAACTACCCTTTCAGCTTGTTTGTGGCCAAAGGTGTCCACCAGCAGATTGGGTCTGTAATTTTTATTATTTTTATGTTTTTTGTCATTTTTTCTGCATGAAACTTTTAACTTTAGTTCTTTTCATAAATATAAAATAGTTATTACTTTTTACATTTTTAACCCTTTAAACACCAGTTTGTTTGTCCACTGCACCAGTTGGAAGACAAAACTCAAATCACACAATTTTATCTGCAGTGCTACTGGAATTTCTTGTATTATTAATAGTAGAGTCTGGGACATGTGATTGATTCACATCAACATTGATTATACAGCATTGTTATTTTTGCACAGGGAGAGCAAAAACAGAAAAACTCCCTCTCAGCTTGTTCGTGGCCAAAAATGGCCACCCCTTCTGTCATGGTCCTGGGTCATTGACCCAGCGTTTTGTGTTTCCTTTTGGTTTCATTTTGTATTAGTTGGGTTTGGTTGTCGTGTTTATCGTCCCTACCTGTGTCTTCCCTCTGTGCTCTGTTCGTGTGCCCGAGTTTTGTGTTGTAAAACAGTCGGTGTGTTTCCTGTTTTACTTTGTAGGTCTGCTTCTCGTTATGTCCATCAGTTTCAGCTGTGTCCACCCCTGCATGTCATCTCCTCGTTACCTGGTGTGTATTTATAGTGTGTGTTTGCCTCTGCTCGTCTGCATTTCTCTGTGTAACTCTGTGTACTTCAGTGTGTTCTATGTCCCATGTTCAGGTCTGTTCTTTAGTTTCCTCCAGTTTAGGTCTCGGTTATCTCCCCACCCTTCTTTGCCTGTTTTTTTCACTGCCACGTCTGTAAACAAACATCACTCTCATCACCAGTCAACTGCCTGCATTTTGGGTCCTTTTCCTTCAACACCACACGGCTCACCCCGGCAGCCGTGACACCTTCTTTACGTTTACAAAATGATTTTTTTTTTTTTTTTATTAAAAACAAATTCCACATTCATTGACTTAATTTTTAAAATTAGCATCAGTGCAGTTCATCAAGACCAAAATTTTAACCCTTTAAATACCAGTTAGATCACAAAACCTAAGAACTCATAAATGGAAAAAAAATCATAAAACCACAATTTTTTTCCAAATAAAACGTGCCATCTGATTTATTTCCTAACCATGATGGAGGTTAGATGCATAGCAATAATTAACAGTATCAATGACTTTTATGCATCTTTGGTTGTTTTTGTACAGTGACAGAAAAACAAAAAAACTCCCATTTTGGCCACCCCCTGTTTACGTTTACAAAATGACATTTTTTTTTTATTAAAAACAAATTCCACTTTCACTGACTTGATTTTTTAAATTAGCATCAGTGCTGTTTATCAAGACCAAAATTTCATTCAAATCCAGAATTTTAACCCTTTAAATACCAGTTAAATAACATAATTTTAACGATTTGCATAGGGACAAAAGCATAAAATCCCTATTTTTTCTAAATAATACATGCAAACTGAATTATTTTCTAACCATTATGGAGGTTAGATGCATAGCAATAATTAACAGTTTCAATGAGTTTTGTGCATTGTGTTTTCTTGTGCAGTGACAGAAAAACAAAAAAAACTCCCTCTCAGCTTGTTTGTGGTCAAAAATGGCCACCCTCTGTTTACATTCACAAAATGCTATAAAATTCATATATATTAAAACATTTTTCCACTTTCATTGACTTATTTTTTTAAATTAGCACTGCTCCTAGTCATGAAAACCAAAATATAATTAAAATTCAGAAATTATATGCTTTGAATACCAGTCAGATTACGTATTACGTATTTAAAGCATTTTTGATGATTGATGAGTGAGTCTGGACAGTTGAAGTCTGATT